TTTTTTTTCTAGAAACTCCTTCTACTGGTTTTGGGTTAAAGAGGTAAATATTTTGGGAGAGGTCTTAAAAGTTTTTTTATATATTTTTTGACATTTTTTCTTATGTAGGAACGGGTTTTGATCGATTTTAATCGGTACTGCGCCACATAACTGATGAGCAAATTCTGCAAATCGGCGGATATGTTAATAGAATAAAACTCCTTTAAAGAGATCTTCTATCAAAATGAATCACCCATTAAAGAAACCTGTGAATTATCAATTGCAATCACTTAATGACAATGGGATCAGCTATAAAAATAGATCATCCATTAAAGAGACTCATTCTTGAGACCAGTCTTCATGGTCTTCAGTTTGAGATTTGAGGACCAGTTCAGAATAGAGGCCTGCATTGACCCTATTTTACAACCCGACCTGGACTTAATATATTAAAAACCTGATCCAGACATGACTAAAGATGGCAATGGTTGGTTATGGTCAGTTATGGTCAGTTATAATTGGTTGTAATAATTTAAATGATCAGTTATGGTCAGTTGAAAATTGTCGGTTAAATGGTTGGTCAAATGGTCAGTTAAATGGCAGTTAAACGAGTTAATTAAACAGTCAGTTAAATGTTTATGATCATAACCGTTGCCATCCCTAGACCGGATCCAGACTATTATTATATCATTTTGTTGTAAAAACAAAAAAATTGGCCAACTTTATTTTGGCCAGTTTAATTTCGGCCAGAATTAAGACGATTTTGGCTAGAATTATGAAAATCCAGGTTTAACGAAAATCATGTGCTGGCCCGGACCCAGCCTGGGTGAATTTTAAAGAAATTTTGTTGGCCCAAATCAGGATCCAGGTCCAGGCCAGGTTAGGGTTTCCAGGTTCTGGTCCCACTTGCAGACCTCTAGTCCAGACTGCAGGACTGGGACCAATTATATAATATTATTATCTAATATAAAAATGATAAATTATATATTATTAATAAAGTTTTCATTTTGAAATACAAATATTTCAAATTTTGGTATTTTGTAATCAATATCATTTAATTTCTCATTGATGCTTTAAAAATGTTGAAGTATAAGAATAAAAATTTTTCATATATGCAATTATTATGTGTTATATGATTATTTTTATTTTTTTATTTTCATTACAATTTTTTTTTTTCATATTTCAACAGTTGTATAAGGATTTAAAATTCTATCCAGTATTTTTACTCTTAAACTTCATTTTAGATTTTATTTGGGCTATACTTAATTTATAATGAAAACAATGATAATAAATAATAAATTAATGTCATAATTTTTAGTGCAACCTGCATTTCATTATCAATCCAAGAATACCACTGTTATACTGTAAATAAGATAATTTAAAAACTTTAAGGTTGGTCAAAAGACTGGACTGGTCTGGACCTAGCTGAAAGACCAGTCTTTTTGGGACCAGACCAGACCAGACTAATCCAACCCTATCTACTGAATCATTCAATGACAAGAGACCTGTTATAGAAATAGTTCATCAGAATCACCTATTATAATTGATTAATTAAACAAGTCTTTGCAGAAACTACTGAAGAAAATAATTCATGAATTCGTTATTCAATAAGACTGTGCCGAAATTTGAGAATTGTTAGAACTAAGATCATTAAAATAACTAATGTAACCAAATATACAATTGCATCAAGGCATTTATTTGGCTGTTTAAATAATCGTGATTAGATAACTCACTTTATTTTACATGTCAGGTTAAATGATGTTTAGTATAATCATTTACAATTAACATTTATGCATCTTAAAAATATCAAGAAATTGCTCAATTACAAACTGATTTATTTATGTAAATAAAAATTACAAATACTCCATAATCAGTGTTAAACAATAACTAACTATAATTAAATATGATTCCTATATATTTATATATTCCAAAAAATTATCAATAATATTGCAAGTATAATTATGAAGAAAAAAGGCTGATTACTTATAGAATATTAAAGGGCAAGCATAAATGCATGTTATTATTAAATAAACTTTGTGGAAGACAAAAAAAATATTAAAGTTACTAGTTAAACTTCTGACGGTATTTTAAGTTTCATCATGGTAAGATATCATCAATCAGCAATAATTGCACAACTTAAACATTCAGAATTATTATTATCATACTTAGGAAGATCTTTTGTAAAAGGGTTAAGTAATCGAGATGTATAAATAGCTCCTGGATGTTGTTTGTTTTCCTTAAAAGAAGAGAGATGTAATTTTCTGTAAGCTTCTGCTTCTTTAAATTGCTTTCTAATTTCAGTTGCATTTAAATTGCCTTTTTTATATGAACTATAAAAATCATAAAATGACTTAATCTCAATATTTAATTCAGTAGCATTTGGTCTATTATCTGGATTTGAATCCCAACATCTTTTCATTAAGTCAATATAACATTTTGGTACTTCCAGCTCATTTATTTCAGGTCTAATTCCATTGCATATCTCTAATGTTAAATGATGGTCATGTGCACAATCGTCAAAAGGTTGCTTTCCAGTTGCTGTAAAATACATAATCATACCAAAGCTATATATATCTGCTGCTTGACTATAAGGTTTTCTTCTTAATACTTCAGGCGCTATATAAGGGATAACTCCATAAGTTTTTATATCACTTGTGCTATTCACATCTTCACATAATCCCATATCTGATATAAATAATGATTTCCTATTAAGATTATTTAAGTTTTTTGTTAAAAACAATATGTTCCCTGTATGAAAATCATGATGAACCTTCTGTTTTTTATGAATTCCTTTGAGACCTTCAATGATACTAAGTAGTGTTTGTATTTTATTTCTCCAATTAAAATCTTTGTAATTTATGCTTATCCAATTATTATAACTTCCGCCATCTGCATATTCAACAACTATAATATAATCTTTTGTATTTGGATTCTGAGATATTCCATATACATTAAGAATATCATCTATTTTACTAATTGAATATGCTCTAACCTATTATAATAAAAATTATTAATTAAAAAAAAGCATTCCGATTAATTAAAATTAACTTATTGAGAAATTTCATACCTCATTGAAAAATTCATCAATCATATTTTGTGAATTATTTAAACACTTTAAAGCAACTTTTTTATTTGTAATTCTAGTACACATTTCTTTATTAACATCATACTTTAATGGACCATCTTTCCATATTGTTGAATAAACTGTAGCAAATCCACCTTTACCTATTTCTTTAATGTAATTAAATTGATTATATGGTATCCATTCAAATATTATATTAAAATGAGAATTGATCTTTAATCGCATTTCTTCAATTAAATCATCAATTTTTTCATTTCCACTATTAATGGAAGTTGCAGTTACTAGACATTGTTTACACCATGTATGATCAATATGACCATATTTTCCACCACAATTTTTGCAATATGTTTTACCATATTCTGTACAATATTCATTTTGAAGAACCAAAATGAAATCCCCTTTATCCGGGTTTTGAGATATCCCATATATTTCAAAATTATTATCAGATTCTTTGACCTGTAAATTATAGAAATATATCACTAAATTAAAAGAAAATTTAAATTTAAATTAAAAATATTTCATACCTTATTTAGAAATTTTTGTGAATCATTAAAACATACTAAAGCAATTTCATATTCCCATGTCGCTGAATATACTGTAACAAAATGGCTCTTGTCTATATTTCTAATTTTACTAAACTGATTGTATGGTATCCATTCAAGTCTTATATCATTTGGTTCATTAATTTTTAATTGAATTAAACTATCAATTTTATCATTTCCGCTTTTCCAGCCTATAAAATTACACGACTTACACCATTTATACTGGATGTCCATGTATATTTTATCACATAAGCTACAATATGTTTCAAAACTTTGACTGCTAAAAATCAAAATATAGTCCTTGGTATCTGGATTTTGAGATATTCCATACAATTGAAAAAAATAGCTATTTATTGAATATTTTTTAGCCTAAGACAATAAATTAGAAATTAATATATTAAAAAAAAAAATGTAATAATAAATAAATGCAATGATATAATATGTAGAAATTTATACCTCATTTATTAGAGAATCAACAGGATTTTGCAAGTTATGCAAACATTTTAAAACAACTTCTTTATTTAAATCTCTTGTATATTTAAGATAATCATAATTATAATGTATTGGGCCATTTTTCCATATTGCTGAATATATAGTTATAGCATTTTTGCCTGTTTCTTTAATTTCATTAAACTGATTGTATGGTATCCATTCAAATACTACTTCATTATAGGAATAAATATTTAATTGCCTTTCTTGAATGAAATTATCAATTTTTTCATTTCCACTAATCCAATTTACTAAGTTTATAGAATTATTTTGAACTAAAATATAATCACTTGTATCTGGATTTTGAGATATTCCAATCAATACAAAAAAGTTGTCATTTTTTGTTGAATATTTTTTAGCCTGAAACCAACCATCATTAACAGGAAATTAACATCATATTAAAAAATGTAATAAGAAATGTAATAATATTTATAGAAATATATACCTCATTTATTAGAGAATCAACAGGATTTTGCAAGGTATGAAAAGTATGAAAACATTTTAAAGCAACTACTTTATTTGAATCTCTTGTATAGTAGTTTGAACCCTGCTGAGATTTTTTATATAATGGGCCATTTTTCCATATTGCTGAATATACAGTTATTGAACCATTTTTGCTTGTTTCTTCAATTTCATTAAACTGATTGTATGGTATCCATTCAAATACTATGTTATTGTAAGAATTAATATTTAATTGCCTTTCTTGAATGAAGTTATCAATTTTTTCATTTCCACTAGTCCAAGTAAGAACTAAAATATAATCACTTGTATCTGGATTTTGTGATATTCCAAACGATACAAGTAACTTGTCACTTTTTGTTGAATATTTTTTAGCCTAAAACCAACCATCATTAACAGAAAATTAGCATCATATTAAAAAATGTAATAATAAATGCAATAATATATGTAGAAATTTATACCTCATTTATTAGAGAATCAACAGGATTTTGCAAGGTATGAAAACATTTTAAAGCAACTTCTTTATTTGAATATCTTCTATAATATAAACTATGCTGATACTCCTTACGTATTGGGCCATTCCTCCATGTTGCTAAATATACAGTTATAGAACCATTTTTGTATGTTTTTTCAATATGATCAAACTGATTGTATGGTATCCATTCAAATACTACGTCATTATAAGAATTGATATTTAATTGCCTTTCTTGAATGAATTTATCAATTTTTTCATTTCCGCTGGTCGAATATATAAAACTACTTTTTAAATATTTTGAAATTTCTGAATGTTCAATAGCTTTATTTTGGGAAGACATTTTTCAAAGGTCAAAAAATGTTTGTATGAAAAAATATAGTATTTATAAATATATTAATATAATGATTATCATGATCATTGTACAAGCAATTCATGCATAATAATGCGTAGCAACTGAATATGAATGCAACGCTATGGTTTAACAAACTATTTTTATGGTTTAACAAACTATTTTTATGCACGAGGGCGGGCATAGGTTTTACGCATAACAATATGAATGTGAAAATCATTGTTTCAACAGTTGTTTCTTTTGTTAGGCCACTCCTGCCGTCCTGCGTATTTCACATGACAAAAACTGTTGAGTAATATTTTCAAGGGTAACACAAATAATAAAAGTGCGCAAAAAATTAATAAATGTAATAAATGTATGCAATTTTTTTGTAAAGCGAATTACCTAAGCAGCTATTGTAGCTTAGTATATTTTATAAACAAATATATAAAATTTATTTATTATTCATAAATTATTTTAGTTTAGGTAATATTAAAATTAATAGAATAAAAATCCGAGAAAAATAATATTAAGCTTTAAGCTATCTGATATAATTCATTAATGTATTTGATGTTATATGCTTCAAAATATACATGTATGTTATACTCATTTTTTCCCCACTCGTCAAGAAGCCGTTTATTGTTTCTTGTTTTTAAAAAATAAATTAAAGCGTTAATTAAAACAAACCAAAATATAGCAATCCAAAATAACTATCCACACGACGAAATTTCATAACTAAACCGTTCTTTTTTTGAAAATGTGACACGTAATCTATTTACGTTATTGAAAAACTGTTAATGAATATCATTGTAAATTTGTATATCAATGATTTAGCTGAACATACTATAACAAATCAGGAAATGAGATTGTATTGATAGTATCATGCATCAGTGTAACAAATATAATACCTGTCTCTTATACACATCTAGATGTGTATAAGAGACAGGNTGCCTTTCTTGAATGAAGTTATCAATTTTTTCATTTCCACTAGTCCAAGTAAGAACTAAAATATAATCACTTGTATCTGGATTTTGTGATATTCCAAACGATACAAGTAACTTGTCACTTTTTGTTGAATATTTTTTAGCCTAAAACCAACCATCATTAACAGAAAATTAGCATCATATTAAAAAATGTAATAATAAATGCAATAATATATGTAGAAATTTATACCTCATTTATTAGAGAATCAACAGGATTTTGCAAGGTATGAAAACATTTTAAAGCAACTTCTTTATTTGAATATCTTCTATAATATAAACTATGCTGATACTCCTTACGTATTGGGCCATTCCTCCATGTTGCTAAATATACAGTTATAGAACCATTTTTGTATGTTTTTTCAATATGATCAAACTGATTGTATGGTATCCATTCAAATACTACGTCATTATAAGAATTGATATTTAATTGCCTTTCTTGAATGAATTTATCAATTTTTTCATTTCCGCTGGTCGAATATATAAAACTACTTTTTAAATATTTTGAAATTTCTGAATGTTCAATAGCTTTATTTTGGGAAGACATTTTTCAAAGGTCAAAAAATGTTTGTATGAAAAAATATAGTATTTATAAATATATTAATATAATGATTATCATGATCATTGTACAAGCAATTCATGCATAATAATGCGTAGCAACTGAATATGAATGCAACGCTATGGTTTAACAAACTATTTTTATGGTTTAACAAACTATTTTTATGCACGAGGGCGGGCATAGGTTTTACGCATAACAATATGAATGTGAAAATCATTGTTTCAACAGTTGTTTCTTTTGTTAGGCCACTCCTGCCGTCCTGCGTATTTCACATGACAAAAACTGTTGAGTAATATTTTCAAGGGTAACACAAATAATAAAAGTGCGCAAAAAATTAATAAATGTAATAAATGTATGCAATTTTTTTGTAAAGCGAATTACCTAAGCAGCTATTGTAGCTTAGTATATTTTATAAACAAATATATAAAATTTATTTATTATTCATAAATTATTTTAGTTTAGGTAATATTAAAATTAATAGAATAAAAATCCGAGAAAAATAATATTAAGCTTTAAGCTATCTGATATAATTCATTAATGTATTTGATGTTATATGCTTCAAAATATACATGTATGTTATACTCATTTTTTCCCCACTCGTCAAGAAGCCGTTTATTGTTTCTTGTTTTTAAAAAATAAATTAAAGCGTTAATTAAAACAAACCAAAATATAGCAATCCAAAATAACTATCCACACGACGAAATTTCATAACTAAACCGTTCTTTTTTTGAAAATGTGACACGTAATCTATTTACGTTATTGAAAAACTGTTAATGAATATCATTGTAAATTTGTATATCAATGATTTAGCTGAACATACTATAACAAATCAGGAAATGAGATTGTATTGATAGTATCATGCATCAGTGTAACAAATATAATACAGTATTCTCGTATTACACAAACGTAATTTATGTGCTGTCTTCTATTGAGTTCTTATTTTAAAGATTAAAGTTGGAAGAATTTTATTTGACTTTGATACAGTTGTATAGTAACGATAAATATACATATATTTATGCCAACTTCCATTTTTGTTTTAATTAAAATTTCTTTGGTAAAGCACAATTCATGCTCCCTTTT